ATATACTATATATATACTATATATATACTATATATATACTATATATACTGTATATACTATATATATACTATATAGACTACATACTACAGTATATATATATATATGATTTCTTCTTTCGAGCTCGTCCCCTACCTTCCAGAGGCAAACCAGTGAAGATCGTCACCAGGGTGTTCATGGCGATGTGTGTGAAGTGGCCGTGCGTCCATTGGTACGTCAACCTGGGTGTCGCTGGGCGTACGGACGTGCGGAGCAAACTGAACAACTTAATAGCGTCCTTGCTCCTAGTAGCGATGCCAGGAGCTACTAGACTAGTAGCGTCCTTGCTCCTAGTAGTGTTAGCCTTTGTTACTACTAGCGTCCTTGCTACTTGTAGTAATGCCAGGAGCTACTAGACTAGTAGCGTCCTTGCTCCTAGTAGTGATGCCCTTTGTTACTAGTAGCTTAAATGTTCCTATTGCTAAGCAATTCACAACTTGTTGAATGCGGCAATTGCCTTTTCAGTGTCTTAAGATTCTAAGGTCAATCACGGTCATTGTAAGATTCAAAGGTCAATTGCCTTGAGTCTTATTTTTCTTTCTTCTGTTGAGCGTCAACCTCCAAACCTGCCAGCGCAAGTCCTGCTGAGCAAACCGGAACGGTATGGTTTTCCTGTTTGGCCAACGATGTCCGATGTCCTTCTTGCTCATCCGATGTCAAAATATCTAGTACAAACAATGCATTCAAAGTATTGCCTCGCTGGTAGTAGCTAGTAACAACGAATACTCTTATGTTATATGTTCTCTATTCTTCTATGCTTTCTTTCTTCCATCCTTTCCCTTGTTTGAACACAAAGGTAAACAATTTGCAGCATGCACTGCTCAGCATACGTTGGCCCTCTGTCGCTCCTTGCAGTCCTGGTCAAATCAGTCGGGCAAGCAGAATCTGTTTTTGCCAAACTTCCCAAAGTCCAAAATGAGCCATCAGCACAAATGACCATTGCGTTCAACTGAATTTGACAGAAAGAAAAAGACTCTTGATATTATCTGAAAATGGTATGCATACGGTATGCTCAAATGTCCCGTGTTCCTTCCACGTTGCTGTCCTCATGAACTCGCACTGCCGTCCAACCTTTTGCAAAGGTTTCAAGGCCTCCCTGTGACATCAGGAAGTCGACCTGCCTGGTGTCAGTTCCGACAAGTGGCTAACAGGATATATGAGATGAAAAGTCACAAGATTCCATCACTCCATGAATCGAGCCAAGGTGCTCCTCTGTAGCGGCAGAATAGCCCGCACCAACCAGCCAAAAAATCACACAAATCACCAGCTGCGATGTGATGAACACGGGGCCTTGATTGAGACCGTGTTTCTTCTCTTTCTTGCCCGCCAATTAAGTAGGCGACTTAACTAAGGGAGTAAGCTCGGACTAGCTTCTAGTAACTGGACGCAGGATCGCTCGCACTAATGATTTGGTTCCTAGATATTTAGGGAAACTCAACTGGTAACAAGAAGCTACTAGGGGCTCCTGGCCTTACTACCAGGAGCAAGAACGCTACTAGGGGCCCCTGGCATCGCTACTAGGGGCATTCTTACCAGTAACAAGAAGCTACTAGGGGCTCCTGGGCTTACTACTAGGAGCACTACAACCTCCTGGCATCGCTATTAGGGGCATTCTTACTAGTAACAAGAAGCTCCTAGGGGCTCCTGGCCTGAGTACTAGGAGCAAGAACGCTACTAGGGGCTCCTGGCATCGCTACTAGGAGCATTCTTACAAGTACGTAACAAGAAGCTACTAGGGGGTCCTGGCCTTACTACTAGGAGCAAGAACGCTACTAGGGGCTCCTGGCATCGCTACTAGGGGCATTCTTACTAGTAGCAAGAAGCTACTAGGGCTCCTGGCCTCACTACTGGGATACTAGCCACAAAAAGCTACTAGGGGCTCCTGGCCTTACTACTAGGAGCAAGAAC